GTTCTTGACGACGAGAAATGGGTCGTTAACAATAATGTTAAGCGCAAGAGATGAGTTAAAAAGACGAACCAGTTCAAACCACTTTGAAGGCCGATAATTTTAAGAAATGACTTTATTTGACAAGAGTTTTGACTGTATACTAAAGATTACGATAGTTAAAACCCTTTTTTAAACGTTACGGACGTTAAACTTCTCTTAAAGATTTTTTGGTGAATAATTTCACTCATTAATACCTACGATAATTTTAAGAAATGACTTTATTTGACAAGAGTTTAGACTGTATACTAGATATTACGATAGTTAAAACCATTTTTTAAACGTTACGGACGTTAAACTTCTCTTAAAGATTTTTTGGTGAATAATTTCACTCATTAATACCCTTCGTTTTGAACGATTTGTCTAGTTCCAGCAATAGACAGTATTACATACGGTACTAATAATAACAGTTCCTGACGGCATTCCGCTTCGTGCTCTCGTACGGAACGGACGTCTCTCTAAGACGGAGGGCTCATGCCACCCGAATTAGACGCTACTCGCAACTTCGGTTGCAAATTAAATCTTTGTGCAAGCAGTGCTGCAGTTTAGTGTAGTGTTGTGCTCGTAGGCAGGTTCCTGTTCTGTAAGTAGAATTCTATACACACTTCTCGCCTCAGAGGCGGCATTGTTTTATTTAATAACTGTGTGCTTGTTGCGATAGGCGACAGCTAGGTACCCACCCTAGCGCACCTAAACCGCAGGTGAAATAGTTGTTAGTTTTAGGCACACACCTCCCTGCCGCAAGGTGGGGAGGCCTATTTAGAAACTACACGCCGGCGGGGCGCAAGCCCCAAAGTTTCTAGCGCCGTTATGGGTTCCCTCTAAGAGGAATTCATTCGCGAACGATGCCTTTCTCGCCTTCGCCGCGGAGAAACGCCGCGTCGTCCAATACGCTAGCGACAACCCGGCTTCACCGGCAGTCGCCTCGCCGCCATCTCCGATGCCCTCTGCGCCAGCTAATGAATCGCCTTCTGCGACACTAGAAACGCCCGTCGCGTCGACTTCCGCCGCCGCGAACGAACCCAACGCGCCTTCCGCGCAACCAAATTCGGCCCCCTTCCGCGATGTCGTTCCTGACTCACAATCGGATGGCGGCTCGGACATGGAGGTCGAAACGACCCCCGCTGATAACGCGAACGCCGACGGCTTCACCGTTGTAAAGTCGCGCAAAAAGGGCAAAAAACGCCCCGCAACTGATAGCGACCCCGAATGCGAGGCCGCCCCATCTAACCGTCCCACCGCAACGCCCGCCAAAAAGGCAGCCGCGGCTGCCCAATTGGTACCCGAATTCGCCTCCGAGCGAAAAATTAAGCCACCGCCGCCAATAATTATTCAAGAAAAGGCAAAGTGGCATCAAGTATGCTCGTGGTTTGAACGCCACAACATCCGCGACCTCCGGTCAAAAAATACACACATGGGTATCCGCGTATACCTGGACACAACAGACGATTTCCGCCGCGTAACCAAGTATTTACGCGAAAATAAGGTAGGTTTTCACACCTGCTTCGTTGCGGTCAAATGGGGTATCTTAAATGTAGTCGGCTGCTATATTTCCCCCAATTGCAGTCTCGCAGAGTATGAAGTATACCTGGATCGGGTCGGCGCTTGCATCAACAGATACTTACGGCATCCTGCTCTTATAATGGGGGACTTCAACGCTCATTCGGTAGAGTGGGGGTCCAACCGAAGTAATGCAAAGTACAGGATATCGTACTATATCCTTTGAGGCGGCCACGGTCGTAGCTCGGTTTCCTCCACTGGACATTCTGGCGGAATTGGATGCGCGAGTCTATACTCGCCTCCGTTCTTCACGGGAGGATGCCGAGTCCCTGGATGCGGGAGAGGTGCGAAAGCAGGAGCGCGTACGAGCGCTGGAGGTCTGGCGCGAGCGGCCGGAAGAGCCACGGAACAGGCGCCAACGTGTTGTCAGCGCGCTCCTGCCAAATTTCGAAGCCTGGCTAAATGCGACGGGGTATGCGCACGTCACGTTTCGGCTAACGCAGGTACTCACCGGCCATGGGTGCTTTGGTGAATACCTAAACAGAATTGGACGTGAACCGACGACGCAATGCCACCACTGTGGAGGGGAACGGGACTCCGCGCAACATACACTCGCTGAGTGTCCTGCATGGGAGTCCGAGCGACGGATCCTTGTCCACAAGATAGGGGAGGATCTTTCTCCTTCAGCAGTAGTAGCAACTGCGCTGGCGGAGAGTTCTGCTTGACGAGCACTGGTCTCCTTCTGTGAAGTTGTTATGCTCCAAAACGAGATCGCCGAGCGGGAAAGGGAGAGGGCCGATCCCGCTCGGAGACGGGGGCGCCAGGCCGGCAGGGGCAGACGTGCTGCCCCGTCAGCCCTGTAGTCCCGGGCTCTAGAATATGACTAAGGTATCTCCTGCCTGTCGTAAAAGGTGACTAAAAGGAGACATGGATTGGCAGCAGCACGAAGTGGCCTCGAGCTGCTGCAAGATGGTGAGGGAATAGGGGAAGGTTTATCCTTCTCCGCGGCTTGCTCACGCCCAGTCCAGAGGGACACCGGTGCGTTCCGTAGGCGATCCCGGAGACCCTCCAAACGTACAGAAGGTGGCCACCGAGGGGGTTTTAGTGGGTTAGAACCCCACATAACCCTGTCATATAATGACAGGGTATCTTACGAAGATTTCCTCCCCGATACCAAAAAAAAAAGGTTTTCACACCTACTCTTTGCCCGAAGAGCGTAAACTTCGGGTAGTAATAAAGGGCGTCCCCAAAGAGTCGGATGTCGATAAGACATCCGCACTCAGGGATACCCCGGACATGCAGTACGACGTCTTAGGCACCCTTGAACCCGTGTCCCTATGGACATGGTCATGGTTGAACTTGACTCTACCCCGGAAGGTAAGGCCATCTTCAACCTAAAGAGGGTCTGTGGGCTCAGTGACTTAGTCATCGAGCCCCCGCGCAAATCAGGTGTTGTGGCACAGTGCCACAACTGTCAACATTTTGGCCACACGGCCAATAATTGCTTCGCTCACCCTAGGTGCGTCAAATGCACCGGTGACCACGGCACAACCGAGTGCACGAGGCCAAAAGATTGCGCAGATCCACCTGACTGCGTAAACTGTCACGCTACCGGCCACCCGGCTAGTTATAGAGGCTACGCTAAGGCCCTGAAAACTCCCGCGAGAAAATCTTCCGCGAAATCTACGTTGCCCATACCCGCGCCCGTTAAATACGTTCCCGCGCCCGTACCCGTCACTAACGCCTGGGCGAAACCCCAGGTGGCCGCGCAGGTAACCACGCCGGTAATCCCGGTCGCCTCACGACCGATCGCACAACAGCTGCCCGCCGCACAACGGCGCCGCGGCCGCAGGTGCAGCCAACTCCGTCAGTTTTCGCGGAAAACAAGGACGACCCATTCGCGCAAATCGCAAACATCTGCAGCCTATTAGATAGGATCAATAGGCAGGAACTCGCCGTATTGTCCGCTAAAATAGCGGCCGCCACATCTGGCAACGAGCGTCTTAGGGCAATTAGCCAACATAAAACGCTTGTGGAAGCCCTTTGGGCTTTTACGAACCAACCGTAAAAGACAATAGTCCGCGCAATAAAACCGCGCTCCGCCGCGTCGTTAATTAGACCCATAAAAACACCTTAATGGGAAGTACAACCGCAGGTAGAACAAAACCTCGGGCTCTGGTTGTTTCGTATTTCAACGCAAACGGCATAAAGGGTCAAAGGGACGAAATTCCGACGACGCTGAATTCCTTCGCGTCTACAACGTAGATATTTTTCTAGTGCAAGAGACATTCTTGAAACCTAGTGTACGAGATCCCAGAATCGCAAATTACAATATTGTCCGCCACGACCGGTTAGCAAACCGTCTGGGAGGCACATTAATTTATTATAAACGGTCCTTGCACTGTTACCCGCTCGACATTCCAGAGCTAAGTCATAGAGGCATCCGCGTGTAGGTTAGCGCTCACCGGCCACAGGCCGCTTGTACTAGTTTCAGCCTACCTCTCGGGGAATAGAACCTTACTTCAAAGCGACCTAGATACGCTTCTTAACTTAGGCCCTTCCGTGATAATTGCAGGAGATCTAAACTGCAAACACGGCTCATGGGACACCAACAGCATCCCAAATAACAACGGAAAGCATCTCTTTAGCTTATCCGATAACCTAAACTTTAGCATAGTCGCTCCCGCGACTCCCACTAGGTATCCTACGGCGGACAACTACCAACACGCGTCACCGAGTGTCCTAGACATCATGACATGATAATGAGTAACTTTTTTTAATCGAACTATTATTATTTGTGTTTGTTGCTACGATAAAACTTTTAGATTTGTGAAAATTACTACTAGATTTAGATTGATTTAAATGGCTCTCCTCAATGGTTTCTAATAAGTCAGCCCTATTACTGACGAATGTACTGAACTGGGACATAGTGGGAGGCATAGATAACGTATTACGGTACTCTTCCCATTGTCTATTTGTGACTGAATCGAGTTTAGCAGATAGCATATAAATAAGAAGAGTGTCCCAATACTGTGTTGGTTCGTTCAGTGTTTTTAAGGCACGTATATTTTTATTGGTGATATCTATAAGACGACGTAAGCATTTACTAGACTCCCTTATAACGGGATTAACACTGAACAAAGCATGCACATGATTATTTACAAGAAGACGATTATTGTTGTACCGATCACATAACAAACTCCATGCCGATTGATAATTATCACTATTGAAGTCGAGATTTTTAATTATTTCGGATGCACTTCCTTTTAATGATGCTCGCAAGTAGTGGAATTTGTTTATGTTGTCGATACTCTCGTTTTGATGGATTAAGGATAGGAAAGTGTCCCTGAACTCTAACCAGCCCAGATAGTTGCCATCGAAACGGGGTAAATCGATTTTGGGTAAGCGAACAAAATTATTATTAAATTTGGTACATCCTGGTATTGAGTCTGTGGAGCCTGCTACACCACCCTCCACATTCGAGAAAAACGCTCACTAGCTGCACCGGAATTCGACAGGAGTTGCCGTGCTCGGGCTACTAGAGTATAGTATTCATCCTCAAACTGCTCCCGCGCGGAGAATGCCTCCTCTGGTTTGTCAGCCATTGTCTCAACCTCCGTCTGTAATTCATCGTAATGAACATATAATGCTTCAAATTTTGAAAGTCGCCCTTCCAAATCAATTTTAAACAGGTCGGACAGGGTAGCTGAATCATTAAATTTGGCTAAATAGTTGCTAAAAACAGTGAGTTTTCCTTTCATAGCACTTAGTTTCCTTTGTAATTTGATTTCGTCTGAAACCTGTGCAGTGGCACTAGCTTTATTTCCCGGCAATTCAGGCATTGTAAATAATTTGTAAAATTTATTTAATTATTTATGTTTAATGATAATTAGAATAATTAATGATTTTTAAAATACTAATAATATTAAACACTACTTTATTATAGACGAACTAGAGCGTGTAATACATTACTAGTAAAAATGATTTGCAGACACGTAGTAAGAATAGCTTAGCAGTATAAACGACCTTGACCGAGTAATTCGGCGGCAACAGCTAAGCTGATAAGACACTACGGATACGATCTCTGCAGATGTGATGATTTTAAGAGTGATTATATTAACATAAAGTAATTACTTACGTATATATATGAATTAGCAAGCCTATTATGACTTAAATAAAGGCGAAATAATGTATTTTTATGGGGAAGAAAAATAAAAATTGAATGTAGGTAGGTTGGGAAAAAAGTTGGATTTTTAGGAAAATAATTGGAACGAACTCACCCAGAACGTCTAATTCCCATCCAATAGCTTATATTTGATGTAATCCCAAGCCAGAAATCAGCACAGTTTTCTTGAAATTTTGAGGTCCGCCAACTGGTTCTTGTCACTAATTATGTATCGTCAACTTCTCTTAATCGGCGATTTTCTAGTTCTTCAAGACGGTGAAAGGACCATTATGTAGGATCCGTAGCTCAAATGAAAGAAGTAGTGGACTGTATGAATGTATTGCGATATTTTTAGGATATAAAAGTATTAAGACCGAACAGTAGTGCGTATCGTCGCCGGTAGGTTGATGTAGGAAAAAAAACAAAAGTGGGGATCGTTATATCGATTCGACGATGACGTTCCGGTTCGCGCGTGAACAAGGGAGGTCTCGCTCGACATCGAGTCGATAGAGACAATCCATGAACTAGACTCAGACTACAGGCCCGTCCTGTGTAAATTGGGCCAGAACGCCGGCGCGGTCCCTCCGACTAAATCCGTAGTGGACTGGCATCGTCTTGAGGTCAAACTCAAGGCCTTGGACCCCCAGGACTTAGTAGACTCACCCGAGACGATAGCTACGTTCGATGACGCAAATCGAGCGATAGCGAGTCTCTGAGAAACTATTACTTCCGCAGTCACAGACTCGGAACGGACGGTGAAACTGTCGGGCGACCGACGGTTTAACTTTCCGCCCGACCTAAGACTGCTAATTAGACAGAAAAATGCAGCCAAACGCGCCTTCGACCGATACCGATCGGAATCGAACCGAACCCTACTTCGACGCCTTCAGCTAGAAGTCAAAGATCGTGGTGTATCGGAACACCGACACACAACGTGGGACACTCTCCTAGAGAACATCGAGCCATCGCACACCGCCTACTGGCGGTTGGCCCGCAGTCTGAAAGCAGACCCCCGCGAATCTCTACCGCCGTTAGTTAGACCTAATAGCGCTTCAGTAGACCCCCGAAGAGGTCCAAGTTATTATTAAAAATTTAAAACCAAAATCCGCCCCGGGCCCAGATAATATAAGTAATAAAATTCTCAAAGCTCTCCCTGGGCCGCTTATCTGTTTACTGGCGACCATTTTCAATGCCCTTCTCTCCAGTTGCTCCTTTCCGGACGACTGGAAGCAAGCCACGGTTATCGGCATTCGCAAGCCGAATAAACCAGCTAATCAGCCCTCTAGCTATCGTCCCATCAGCCTCCTCAGTTGCCTGGGGAAGCTCTACGAGCGGCTCTTGTTAAACAGGCTCAAAGAGCACGTATTTTCCAACGGCCTTCTGCCGACGGAACAATTCGGCTTTCGAGCTAGACACTCATGTCCCGACCAGTTATACCGCCTAACGGAGCACATCCTAAAAGGCCTAAACCACCCCAAACACATCAGCACAGGGGCTCTCTTCTTCGATGTCGCAAAAGCATTCGACAAAGTCTGGCACAACGGCTTGCTTTACAAGCTGTACACACTCAAAGTGCCAGATAGGCTCGTACACACCATCCGGGCCTTTTTGTTGAATTGCTCTTTTCGATATCGAGTCGAGGGCACCCTCTCCACAAGCCGCCGCCTCACGGCCGGCGTACCACAAGGCTCCTGCCTCTCACCTTTGCTCTTTACGCTCTACACGAGCGACATACCCAAAGACCCCCACGTCAATCTCGCGCTTTTCGCGGATGACACCGCGCTCTTTTATTCAGACCGCAACCTTAGAATACTAAACACTCGACTCCAAAGCGCCGCCGACCGCCTCGGCGATTGGTTCCGCAAATGGAGAATAGAAATAAATCCCGAAAAGAGTGTGGCGATTCACTTCACACGAAGTACCTACCCGTCACATCTTTATAATGGCCCTCGTCAATGCAGAAAGTTGGGGCAAATATCCCTTTATGGCCAACCGCTCCCCTGGGAGAAAAAGGTCAAATACTTAGGAGTCACTTTCGACTCGCGTATGTCATTTACTACGCACATTAATAACGTTCGTAATAGAGCCGCGTTCGTCTCCGGCCGGCTACACAATTTAACTAATGCTAAAAGTAAAATGCCCTTAAGGCACAAATTATTATATAAGACCTGCGTACGACCTATTATGTACTACGCATGCATGATCTTCGCCCACACGCACCCTACTCGCTTGCGTTGCAAATAGTACAAAAATAAGTTTATCCGCCGGGGCGGTTTCAGCCGCTCCCAGCGAGCAGACACCCGATTAGGTTCTAAATGCACAGTCGACGGCCGTACGGGCGAACGTCAAGCGTCGCAAAACGTCGGTCCGAACCGCGACCTCGACGGTCCTTAGATGACACACCATAATTAAACGCACGCATGAGCACATGCGCTACCCTACCCATAGCGGAGGGTCCAAACCCGTGGGTTCTGGCTAGCCCACCGGTTCTGCGTCCGATGAAGCTTTAATAGTCTCGGGACTGAAAGCAAAAACATCAGTTAATACAAGATACAAGATACAAGTTCCTGACGGGGATCCCATAACCGAAGATGACGTTAACGGTTAGTCTTTCAAGACTACGTTAACAGTTTTATTCCATGGCCAAAGACGCCGAAAAGTATTCGTAATTCCGGAATTAGCGGCGATACTAGAAAAGTACTATTGTAACTCTAGCCCTAGCCTACCCTATTATAGCCTATAGTGCCCAGAAGTAGAGTATCCTGTTATAGATATATTTTGTCGGATAGACATATCAATTTAACGACGCGATAACATAATGCTTTTGAATTGCACAATCCATGTAATTCACCTGTACATAGTATAACATAGGTCATATTGTTAATGTTATTAATTGTAAAGAAAATTATTAATTGAACGTACCTTCTACGTATATCGTCGCCGACCATACAATCACGAGCGTGCTGACGTGATGGTATACGTGGAGGAAGTACGCCTGCCGCTCCTTCTTCCTCAGCAGGAAGAACACGGTCTCGAAGAGCTCCATCAGCTTTAGGACTATCGTCCACCACATGTACCTGTGCATCCTAAGGGGCTCAGGGTCCGTGGAGTAGTCGGGGGGCACGCACCCGAAGTGGTAATTGGTTGTCCACCCCGAGGTCATGATCTGGAAACACCATGTTCGAAACTCTTTCATCTCAATGATTAATTGGAATGGTCTCGTTTAACTCGGAGTAAGTTGAGTTCTTATATCTTTTTTATGTATAATGTTGGTAAGCTAGCGTGCGATTCAACCTGATATTAAGCGATTACCGCCGCCCACGGAAATCTTGAGTTGAAAATTCGTTGCTTACCATTAAAAAAGTGGGCCCCAGCTGCCTCACTCATCAGAGGAAGAACTTCAGACTGTGGTACTTCCCCGGACGAGTCTGTCCATTCTTGCAAAAACTTTGACTTTGAACCTGGTCTTGGGGTAGTCAATGGTATTAGCGTTTCATCCAGCTCTTAATTTGTTCTCTAACTTGGTAGAAAAGTAACAGATGTCAGATGATTTTAAAAGATTTAATTCTTGGCTTTTAGTGATTTTGCTTAAAAGTAAACTGTACCTTCAAAATAAGAATATGATATAAGTCGAAGCTTTGTTTAATATATTTTACCTACACGAAAGGTGTGGACAATAAGTAATGTAATATAATTATTTAGGTTACTTATACATTTGTAAATAAATAGTTACGGTAGACAAAAGATTGAGTCGGCCAATTCGCCAAAGGTTGAAGTTCACACCCGAAAATAACCTGAAAATGTCACAGCGTCTTTCGGGCGGTAAATGTCGCATTGTATTTTAGCATCATCCATATTGTAGCTGAAATGTTGTTCTTTTCATTTCCCTATTTTTTTTTTCCTTTAACTTTCATCAGAAAACTTTGGACGCGTTTGAATATGCCTGTTTAGAATTAAATATGGAAGCGTATTGTGCATATTGTTGCTAAATGAAAGCGGCTGCATTCAAACTTTAAGGTTATGCAATACAAAATATTTTTAACCGTGACTACGTAGCGAACTAATACACTAGTCACAAAAAAGTAAATAAAAGTATATCACGTGTTTAAAAAGAATCTAATCTAATTATAATAGCAGTCCATTAATGCATACACTCGTTAACCTACTTACATTCCGCATATAAACGTGGACCCCTCGACGCATAGGGATCTTTTAAATGGGTCGTGTATTAAGTCATATAATGCAAGTATCCACCACTTCCTAATAGATGCAAAGTATTAAATTAATTTACTGTTACAGTTATGGGGCATTTAAAATTGACGATGCCGAACTCATAACTATGAAAATTAAAAGCCCTTCCTTAAATTAATGTTCACTAGTGGCCGGGTGTAAAGTGATGTAACAATACTCAATTATTTCTCTACATAGTCAAACTGACGACACGGGCAATGAATTAACGCTAGTCATTCTAATACCTTTAACAATAGATGAAGTAATCGTTATAGACGCTGGAACATTCTTGAAACTATTCGGCGGCTTAACCAATCAATAACTCAAGAAAATGAGATAGTATTTTGTTATGAATACGGACCATTACTGAAGAATACGTGATATAATCGATTATTGTGTTATAGTATGATTTCAATAGATATTTTCTTTTTATTTTCCGTATTTTTAGCAATTTATGAATTTTTATTTTGCGTAAGTAACACCATAGAACGAGTGTAACTTTGTGAACTGTGTGTAATTTACGAAAAATTGTCTCCATAATTATTTCTTGTATATACGCTAATACTACACATTGTAAAACGAGATAAAATCCGTAAAATAGTTTTTTTGAAATACATACATTGGCTTAAATTCTCTCTTGTCAAGGAGAACCCAAATATAAATCGGAGGCTGCCAGCGAGCGCTTTTCTTTTTACCTTTCTTCGTTCTATTTCATTAAACTACCATAACTAACTCCTACCTAATAAGCAGCATTGGTATGAAGCTAACAACAGAAATAGATAGGCAGATATTAAGGCAAAAATCCCGAACACACAATCGTGGAGCCCTTGGTAGCTAAGTGCTGATTCCGCGATCAAAGAGAACGGAAACCGGCATACCCCAGAAATAATAAAAGAAAACCATTTCGAGGAAATTTGGAATCAGTCAATCCGCATTGTCCCTAAAATAATTATAGGTGATACAGCAGTGGGACAAAGTTGTTGTAGTCTACTTTTACATCTTTGGTGTCAGTATAGTTCCCGAAATGTATTGCGATGACTTTTTATCGTTCGTATTGAAATCTCGCATTTTATTGTACAATAGACGCGGCGTACTCACTCCCCATGTGACGGTAGCGTTGGCCACGATCTGCATCTGATGACAGACTTCAGTTCGTACGGCGGATGGCTCCTCATATGAGCCGGCAGTACCAGTTTGATCAGAAACAGGTAGCCCGCGATGATGAGGGCTAGGGGCCAGGGTGACGTCATCAGGAGCCAGTCACTGACGCGGGCGTCTGCGGGTCGAATGCGTTTTAAATATTTCTTATTAAACTGTAACCTGTTTATTGTATTTAATTAAACTGTGTATTGACTGTAACCACATGAAAGTCTTGTAAGTAAACAAATGACTGTGATACAATGAGAGTTCCTTATTTCGTATTAAAACGGCACGTAACTGCCTCTAACGTTTAAAATTAAGATCTCTCAGTCTAGACATATCTATAAACCCTGTTAAAGCGATACAGATATATTTAGTCCGAGAGATTCTGACGAATGAGTGCGAACTTTGAGTTTGTGTGTATGTGTAAGGGAACCGTTTTAACTGCACCTGTTTGAAAGATTTTTTCATCGATTGAAAGGTACACTAAAAATATATGTGACAGCCACTAAATATACTAATATATACACAAATACTAAATAAGTGTATGAACTTAAAATACTACTACACGAATACAGAATCTTAATTGCACCTAGGTGATCGCAGGGCGGTCCACTAGGACGTATATTAATTTCATCCTCGAAGGGATTATGTAAAGAAAGCAATAGCGCGGTGAACCTCAATTATTCTATGACAGCATCGATAATGGGTTCTGATGATTTCAATTTACTTTCAATTCTCGTTAGGTCATCAAAGTCAAAGTCAAAATTTCTTTATTGAACATAGGCTTATTGAACGTCAAAAACTACCACCGGTTCACTAAACTAGAACTGCAAGAGAAGAACCGTTCTTTGAGCACTCAATTTCGATTCCTTGCATGTTCCGCCCGTACGTCTTAAGAGAAAACTCCATAATTTTTACTCGCGGATGTCGTTTCGCCGAGACTGTACACGTACTACGTCTATATTTCGCCTCGAAGATATTGCCCTCGTAGAAAGTGATCTGCCTAAGCGTTGCTTAAATTTTAACCCCTGCATTATCGCGATATGTGGCCGTGTAATCCGCCACAGTCTGTTTTATTGATTTGACCGACTGCAAGCTGGCCGGTCTTGAACTGTGAGGTTCGATGATGAATTTTCTAGCCACTGAATCCGTGAACTTTTAACGTGATGATGAACCTTGAAATTAGGTTACCCACATTAATATTTAGTGAACCTATGCTTTAGCTAAAGATTCTCTACTACTCTCTTGTGGCAATTAGACTTCTCACTTACATTAATATTTAGTTCACCTACACGATATCTATAGATTCCCTACTTCTCCTTTCCATATATAATTATTTGGAACAGAGAAGCGTGAAGAAGTTTTAAACTATTTTTCCCTTTTCCTTGCATTGTATGTAACTTGTTAGAACCGATAAGCGGAAAAATATAATCAAGAAAATGCATAAAATGAGGGTAAAGAATAACAATGTAAATTAATTAATTATAATCAAAGGTGAAAAATAAATTATTCGTAATAATATTTATTTAACTTGAACTGAATTCTTAATCTAAAAATTTCTTAATGTAGACAAAAGTTTTCAGGACTATACCTAATGTTACATGCAATTTGAACTCGACACTGTAACAAGTCGTGATCTTTCACTCTAGAGAACAGAGGCATATAAAGGCGGTTTTACATTCTAAATTATAGATCCGCTGTTGATAAAAAGCCTTTCGAAATGCCTCCAATCCGCACTAATGCACTTATTGTGCCGACAGAAATAGGCCGTTATCGGACGGTGGCATCTCGTGTGGCCTATTGAGTCACGAACAACGGTTCGTTCCTGTGGTCGATTACAGCACAGCGATCGAACGATGTCATTTTCAGAATAAGTGTCCTCCGAGAAGCATATCTCCGATTTGTTGTTCCGAAGGTGTGACGAATTTTTTTTTTTTATGTAAGAATGATGTTACGTGATAATCGCCGCCCACGGACATTTGAAACACCCGTACGGTTGCACATTCGTTTCCACCTTTTAATAAACTGGGCCCCGCCTACCTCAACCACCAAACGAAAATAAACATGTAAGCTGTGGTAGGGCCAGGGCAGCAGCCTCGGCTGTTGCACGAATGGGCAGGCCCGTCCGGGTGAGTACCACGACCTCACAGAAGGCCGGCGTAAAGCGGAAGTATGACAAATACTTTCGCGTTTCGTCCGGTGAGCGAGGTAGCCTGGGCCCAATTTCAAAAAGGGTGTCAACGAATCCTCAACCCTCGGGTGTAGCAGATGTCCATGGGCGGCGATATTCACTTAACATCGGGTGAACGGGCTGCTCGTTTGGCAACTTTTCACATGAAAAACAAAAGCGCTACATCCTGGGATACGCGCGATGACTTTCCTCAGCTCGCTTACATAACAATCAGTTGCGTAACAATGGAGGGCGATATAAATTGAATTACCAGGTCTCTTATAAAACACCGTGTCGTAAGCGTTCGCCAACGCCTCCATTGTGCGGACGTGTGAAAGGACGGAAGTCCTGTAATACAGTTAGGCATTAACCGCACCACACAGCGAACAGCTCACCTGTGAATATTTCAATGATCCACATTTAATTATGCTACCTATTACTGCACACATCCACATTATGACCCTCACTGGTATCGATCATTGTATTTATTGTCGAGTGTAATAGCGAAAGTCGTCAGATGAAGCTTTAATAGTCTCGGGACTGAAAGCAAAAACATCAGTCAATAAAAAAAAATTAGCGAAAGTCTGTATGTTTGTTCGCTGACATAAATCAACCTAGCAAAATGCGAACGGTTTACAAAACCAGAATAGTTCGAATCTCCCAATTTTAGTGTCCCGTACCTGCAAACGTAAAAAAGGACCCCTTATAAGATCCTCTTGTCCGTCTGTCTGTCTGTGTCTCATCGGTTTTCTCAGGAACGGCAAGACCTAGCAAGTTGAAATTTTAACAGATACTGAGGTCTATAGTCCCCCTATTAGGTGTATAAAAATCAAGGTCCTGAGTCAACACGATAAAAAATATGAGGTAATTTAATTTTATGCAAAAACTTATGAGTACCAAAATTTACCTTAATATGTGACGTATTTTCCCTTTTTCAGAATTTTTCCTTGCTTTTACTAACTAAAAATGATAATTCTTTATCAACCGAAGGTACCCTACAGGTTTTGGGTCGAAAACCTATATGGTGTTCACGTATGTCCATAAAATCACGAAATTTGGCAAAGCAAGGTTTTACGGCTTATAAAAGAAAATAAATTAAATTGGCCTCAATTATGTATGCCATCATAGATGACGCCAACTAAAATAGTCTTCTGAGTTGTATGGGCACTCATTCCAATACAACGAGTTCGACACGCACTTGACGGTTTTTGAAGGTATAAATTGACTTCACTAACTTTTTAAAGGAAAAATTATAATTCGTGAAATATGTACAGCCAAAATGGCGTTTCAAACCCCTTAAAGTGTTCTTTGTACGTAAATAATACATTAAAATAGTTTCATTTAGTAATAATGTGTAGACGTATAAATGCAAGAAATTTACATATTGTATAAATTATTATAGGTAAATTCCAACAATGAATCAATTTAATGAATCCTATTAAAATGTACAAATTTTTTCTAAGACTTCGCTGTCAGTCTGTCTGTCCGTCTAGGCCACCAGGCTTTATCTAATGAACCGTGATCGTTAGACAGTTGAAATTTTCACAGATGATGTATTTCTGTTATCGCTCTAACAACAAATACTAAAAACCAGAATAAAAACATGTGTAAGTGGGGCTCCCATACGACAGACATGATTGTTTTTGCCGTTTTTATAGATGGTTGGTTTTTAAACACAATACGAGTATATCGCCCTAGTCTACAATGAATGATAATGAACTAAAAGCATTAACAAATGTAAACGTAGAAAAATAGATATATTCGTGGATTTAGATTTTCTTTTTTACTCTTACAGCTCTATTTGATATTATCGCACGCGTGACGGTGCAGTAAAAAGGTCATTAGCCGACCGGCCAATGTTCCATCTATACATAATATGCTTTGTTCCTGCGCGGAGTGCATTTGAATTGCATTTATAACGCTCACCTTAAGCGTGAAACTGATTTCGCTCAGTCCATCGACACTTATCAATCATTCGACATTTATTCCTTCGTAGGTGAAGATGGAAGTCACTGCAAGACTGCAGCAATATTTGCTATTACGTAATGTCGGTGATTAGAAGGGGTACCTTATCATTATTGGATGGCGTTTTCGTTTCAAGTCTTAGATACTGCGTAGTTCCCACCCACGAACATCTATAAATAATACTCGTGTATTGACAACACATCTTCAACCAATCTTTTAAAGTGTAGCCCCCGGTTACCTCTCTCACCTGACGAAAGGCAGACCTCTGTGAGAATGGGGTGCTACTTCGGTTAATCCTGCCTATTCATGCAACAGTAGAAACTGATATGTGGCCCCAGCACATTGAAAAATATATCTATTCATCAATCACAAAGTTTGCTCACGTTTCTGCACTTATATTTATGTGAAACGTTTGCAAGCAGGCAGACGGTTCACCTGATGTTAATTGATTACCGCCATATACGAGACCTTTGAAAAAGTGGTCGCTGGCTACTTAAGACGAAACGCGAAAGTTTAATACTCCTACATGTCGGCCTTTTTGAGGCTATGGGACTCCCCCGGAACAGCCTCTACGAGCAACAGTAGGAGCTGCTGCACTGCATGACACTACCTCAGTTGGATGTCAGGTGGTTATTCAACTATAGTTGGTTGTTAATTTTTATGACCAGCTTTTGTATGTATATTTTTTATGTGAGAAAGTGGCAAACGAGCCGGCGATTCACCTGATGTTAAGTGATAATCGACACCCATGGATATTTGCAACGGCCGTTGGGTTGCAAATGCGTTACCACCTTTAAATATGGCCCCGGGTACCTCACTCACCAGACGAAACGCAGAAGTGTAACTCTTCTACTTTACGCCAGTCTTCTGTGAGGTCGTGGTACTTACCCGAACGGAACTGCCCATTCGTGCAACAGCGAACAGCGTTGTCGTTTAACATCAATTTTTGACGACCCAAATGGCGTAGTGGGTAGTGTACCTGCCTCCTGCGCCAGAGGGTGTGGATTCGATCCCCACTACTGGAAAAATATTGTGTGAATAACATGGTGTTTTTCTAGTGTCTGGGTGTGTCTATATGTATAATATGTATTTATTTACAATAGAAAAGTATGTTTAAGTATGTTTATCAGTTTTCTAGTACCCATAGTACAAGCTTTGCTTAGTTTGGGACTAGAAAATGTTGTGTACAAATGTGTCCTAAATATTTATTTATTTATTATTTATTTATCAATTGAGATGTTTATTAGTTTTTTTTTTTACATCATTGAAGCATCTATCTAAATAAAATCTCTGTAATTGAACTATGCTACATACCCATTTGCTAGCTTATCCGATAAGAAACCTCCCAATCACCGGAACAAAATAGCTCAATCTCTTTTCTCTGATGCTTCCAGTCCAAAGAGAAGATGACGCGTGGCGTGCGGCGCGGCTGCGTGCGCCTCCGGGCTGCCGTCATTGGAATCGACGACGAGGACGACTCCACGTTCACCATCACCGTAGACCACAAGACGTTCCACTTCCAGGTGCGCTAGAGAACAATCTAGAAATCCAAGCCGGTACAAGCTGACAGTGCTAGGGCCACGCAACAGCTTCGGCTGTTGTACGAATGGGCAGGTCCGTCCGGGTAAGTACTGCAACCTCACAGAAGACCGGCGTAAAGTGGAAGTGTTACACTTCTGCGTTTCGCCTGGCGAGTGAGGTGGCCGGAGCCCACTTTTTTAAAAGGTGGCAACGCATCTGCAACCCTACGGGTGTTGCAAATGTCGGTAATCACTCGAGATCACGTGAACCGTTATTAGCTCACTTGCCACCTTCTTACATAAAAAAAAAACGTGATAAAATCCTTCAATTTTTAACTTTAAAATTTATAAAGGTAATAGTTATAAATAGTTTTATTTGATCATGACTTCTAATCAAGTTTTATTTTAGTAGCTTACTCGCTAGTCGATTTAGTGCAGATTAACGTTTCAGAATGGGACTGCCGCGATAGAGCAGTGACCGTATCGAGAACTAATAAACCTCAGAATATACCACCGGTCCAGAAGGAGGTTGCAACGAAACATTAATTTCATTACAGAGATCCGTGATTCATAGCGGAGCTTGTGTCGGATCGGAAAGGGGGTTGGGCGTCGTGCCCTCTTTATAAGGCACTATATATTACTTTGAGTGCCATCAACAATTTATCATTTACACTAATTTACTATGTATTTTTTGTGTGCAAGTGCACGGCGCTGAAGGAATTTAACCTTCTTCCTCGTGGACTACACGATTATGCTCTAAAATACATCTCTTACGTAGGAATAATACTAGCATAATTCCCTTTATCAGGACATATACGTACTCATACTACTATTACGAAAATGTTCAGAAGTGCATCACCTGTATTCCAGTTATTGCTTCTATTTTTTTTATACTAAAAAACGAAAAGACAATGCCGTTTGATGAAGGCGTTTCAGAAACACAAATTGCACTCAGACAAAGGGTCACCTCCGAAAAATTTATAAGTAGTTGTTACGTATGGGATTCGAACCCACGACGCGCCGCTCCCCCGTCCTTTGCTTAGCAACTGCTTACTGCGGCAAGCAAGTCCTATAGCAACTGGGCTTGCATTGTCAGACGGTAATTGAAGCGAAATAAGAGTTGTTGCAGGCATTGCCAACCACTGACAAACGAGAAGCCAAAGTATAAATGGCTTCACACCTCTCCTCGGTGAGGTCCTGGCCCTTCCCCGGTCGAGCAAGTCAATTCTTGAGGCAGGAGACACTGTTAGCTAGTATCGATCTATCCAGTAAAAATAATATCTTATAATCCACTAACAATATACGCGATCCGCGCCTTACTTAGAGACTAGACTTAGCCTCGCATAATCGGATTAAATCTATCAGGATTGTTTTGCTTTGATTAGGTATACAGCGTGTCGTTACCATCGCGACAATAAATGAACGCACGTCTAACTCTACTTGCCAATAATCATAAAAAAATATTAACGTTAAACAAAATCCATAATTAAAAAAAAGTATTTTTCAAACAAACTAATTAAGTAAAAAAGAAACAAAATTTGTACACATCCTATACAACTCGCGCCACAGCGTCGCATAATTGTTCGCATGTTCTAAAATTCTTTCTTTTGGAAAATTTAATAACTCTGTAAATATTGATGTTTAAAGAATTTAAATGTTTAATACAACTTTAAAAAGTTATCCCCTATATGTGTGTTCATTTATTGTCGCGATGGTAAAGACACGCTGTATAATCAAGAATTTTCGGTTAGAAGCAACTTTAAACTACTAATTTTATGTTGCATACGTGAAATGATTCCCTAAAGCATTTTCGAAGGATTGAATGAGAAGCCAAAGTTTACAAAAATGAACCTAGTAACCGAAACAAAAACTCTTTTTACTTACAAGTTGGAACCTCATGGCAAAGGAAGTTTCGAGGCGAGAGCGCTGGATGCGCGCGCTTGAATAGATAATTACATATACATTTTATATGTTATTCTAGGCAAGGAAAATTGTACCCTGTGCTTATATAAGATCACGATTCATTGTTGAAGCTTTTGCTGTGTAGGGAACCAAAAAAAGGACCTTCCACACCTGGAAATAGGGCCCATTGTACTTCACAGCCGCGAGTCGCGCGCTCAAAGAGACGATCGCGTAACTCGTATGCCGTAAACGAAACTGTACCTTATGGCAGTAAAACTACGGTGCATTGTCGATCTGCCGAAGATGTAAAGCGAGACCTAAAATGTTCTTTATGCAACCAGAAATAGCGCTCATTTTCGCACGTCGCAGGCGCGAGACACTTCGAAGCGCAAGCGTTGGACGAGACAAAAATGGTCTTAATTCTTCCAAAAATAGCGCTCATTTTCGAACGACGCAGGCGGCTCGGAGCGTGAGCGCTTGGCACGCGCGCTGGAGCAGACGATCGGGCGCCACGACCGCCGCGAGCAAAACTGTACCTTTTAACGGGAAAGTTACGGTACATTGTCGAAGTTGCCGAAATGTGACGTCAAACCGAAACTGTAATGCGAGACCAAAAATGATCTTTATGTACCTAAAAATAGCTATCATTTTGGCACGTCGCAGGCGCGTAACGGCTCCAAGCGCAAGCACTAGGTGCGCACGCTAGAGATGATCGCGCGCCACCGCGAGCTAAACTGTTACGTGAGATCGAAAATGATCTTTATGGTATTAAAAATAACGCTCATATTAGCACGTCGCAGGAGCGCGACGGCTCAGAGCGCGAGCGCTGGGTGCGCGCGCTAGAGACGATCGCGCGCCACCGCGAGCTAAACTGTTACGTGAGATCGAAAATGATCTTTATGCTATTAAAAATAACGCTCATTTTGGCACGTCGCAGGAGCGCGACGGCTCGGAGCGCGAGCGCTGGGTGCGCGCGCTAGAGACGATCGCGCGCCACCGCGAGCTAAACTGTTACGTGAGATCGAAAATGATCTTTATGCTATTAAAAATAACGCTCATATTGGCACGTCGCAGGCGCGCGACGGCTCGGAGCGCGAGCGCTGGGTGCGCGCGCTGGAGGAGACGATAGCGCGGCACGGGCGCCGCGAGCGCTGGTCCCGGTGCGTGCCCGCGCCCGCCCACCGCCACTGCGACCTCGAGCGGCGGGTGGCCGAGGCGGACGCCTACCTCCAGATCATGATCGAACTGGTCTCGGTGAGTGGAAATGATAATTTTCTTTAAGTAACACTTCTAAAGCGACTTCCAACAAGGTTGCCTTAAACGTTTAACGCTACCAAGCACTGTCGCGTTGAACGTTTAACACTCCTGGGGGAGGGGGAATAGAAAGAGACAGAGCGAGAGTGAATGCGTGGCACTCGAAGTTTGACTTCTTCCGCGCGGAGGGACTCCACGCTTTTTTTAGAAGTTTTGTCTTTAGGTAACACTTCTTTCGGCGTTTGGGGAAAGCGATGGGAGTGATTTTCTTTTATGTGAGATAGTGGCAAACGAGCTGGCGGTTCATCTGACGTTAAGTGATAACATTGACATTTGAAACAACTGTACGTTGCAAATGCGTTGCCACCTTTAAATAAAGTGGGCTCCGGCTACCGCACTCGCCAGACGAAACTCGAAAGTGTAATACTTCTACTTCACGCCGGTCTTCTGTGAGGTCGTGGTACTTACCCGGACGGACCTGCCCATTCGGGCAGCAGCTTTTCAGCGTGAACCCACAATATACGCTGACAACATCAGCTTCATGCTGTTGAACTCAACACCATGGCAACCAATAACAACTTTTTGACGTTTACGTATAATTCCAAGTTATCTTAGCTATGTTAACGATTCTATTTAATGTCTTTTTTTTAACCGACTTCAAAAAAGGAGGAGGTTTCTCAATTCGACCGTATGTATTTTTTTTATGTGTGTTCGGGGATAACTTAGTCATTTATGAACCGATTTTGATGATTCTTTTTTTGTTGGAAAGGAAATATCCCAAGGGTGGTACCATGATAAAGAAACCGAGATCTGATCTGGCATCCCAGAGAAATCGACTGCAATCCTTAAATGTTATAGGTGTTGACAATGCTTTTAGTTTCCTGTTTGAAGTCGGTTTTTTTTGTTCAAAATTATTAACTATAGTTATTTATTATTTATGTCTTTTGATTGATTTTCGCCATTGATTGATTCTCTCGCCCTGGGTTCAGACTCAAAGCAAAGGGGCACCGGTACATTCTACTGGAGATCCAGGATTGAGAGGGGCCAAATGTGGAGAGTAAATTGAGCTTAATATTAGTTATTGCATCTCTCATACGCCAATAACAGACTGGAAATATTGATCAGCAGAATAGAACATTTGTTTTATCAATTTTAACTGATATTCTTCTGATTTCTTTGCAGAAAATGAGCACACGCGTTTCGGAACTGGCGGATCCACAGGAAAAGAGCAAGGGTCAAGTGATTCTAGATCATTCCAACGTGAGTTTATATGATTTATGGAATTGAGTACCGTTTGTGATGTAATAAACCAGCGAATTTTATAAACAATTATATATTTCTATACAAAGTTTGCATGATTGAATCCTCCGAAGATTTGAAAACAATTGGTGCCGTGGCTTACGTACAAAAATCTACGTCACATTTAATGAAAAGGCAAAGATAAAGCTCCCAAGTTTAAAGTTAAATTATTTAACTCTTTTTATGTGAGAAGTCGCACGAGTCGTGGGCAAATGGCAAGGCGTCGTTCGTTGTGGACGTATTGCGGCCGATGATGGTGTGAAAAGTTGGCAACCGAACATACGGTTCACGTGATGTTAAGTGATTATCGCCGCTGTGGACATCTACAACGCCTTTTACGGTGGTAGGGCCACGCAACACTGTTGCAAGAGTGGGCAGGTCCGTCCGGGTGAGTACCGCGACCTCACAGAAGACAAGTAAAGTAGAAGTGTTACACTTCTGCGTTACGTCTGGTGAGTGAGGTAGCCGGGGCCCACTTTATTTAAAGGTGGCAACGCATTTGCATCTATGGGCGGCGTTTATCACTTGACATCAGGTGAACCGCCAGCTCGTTTGCCACTCTCTCACATAAATAAATTAAAAAAAAAATACCTGAGGAGATGCAAGTGCGTTGCCAATTAACTTATGTTCACTAACCAAAAGAAACGCTAAAATGTCACTTCAAGTCTTATATTAGCCCGTGGACTCCCTCGGACGCTTGTCCATTTGCCTCATTTATCCATAAAAAACCGTGAGTCATAGAGTGAAATTATAAAATGTTTCATTGTTAGATGATATATACGCTTTTAATGTTACTGATGAAATCTGTTATTTGTTCCCAGGCGATGTTGGACAACATAAAACATTCCATAGTCCTCCTACAAATAGCTAAGGTACGTATCTAATCAAAGAACAATGCCCACTTTCCATACATTTAAAAACCTGGCAATGAAAGTGTATGTATAGTTACAAGGTATAGCAGAAAGACTACCTTTAAGTTATAGTCATTTTTACGATTGCTCGTCTACGAAGTCCAAAAATTATTAAAAAATGTTACTTTTTAGGTTAGGATTTGCAGTTACCTAATATGACGAAATAAATGTGCTAGAACTAACTATTTACGCTCAAGTTTACTCTAAAATAATAATATTAGCCTATCTAAGGTCTAAAACGTCTTTTTTACTTGTGAATTCCTAGAAACCGACTGCCCTTACGTCACTGCTTAGACTCGATTATTGTCACTATAAATTGAGTCAAGAGCATTATCCGCTATTTCAACAACTCACATAAGTACTTACTTAAAAAACGTAAGTTAAAAGTGATCATTTATCTGTCCTACACACTTTATTGGCCTGCACTACAATACATAATAATCTATAATATAATACCTGATGAATAAAACGAGGGAAAAAATAAAACACTATGTCACAGTGAAATGCTTTATTAATTATCATCATCTTCACTTAAATGTCTTATAACTATGTTATCCAGAAATTCTGCTATAACAGAGATATTTTCTTGATAGTTCATCCGAAGTACCACACTAGTCATAACATGAGTGCAACATCCTATGGTTTGCCAACCAACTAAACAATTACAACAGTATTCGACTATACTAGCTCTGCCAGACACATTATTTTCTATTAAAATGTAGACATAATATTGTTTTCTTTAAATGTGCTAGGACTTAATTTTTTCCTCTTATTAGTGTTATGTCATCACTTCCACTCAGATTATTCCTAGAAAACTCCTGTCTCCCTACATATTTCTATTCTATATGATCCATTAAAGCGAATATGTTCGCCTTAATAGGATTTGGCTTGCCTTATTTGGTACCTAACGCAAATAAGTTCACTAATAAATTAATCTCAGAAACATAAAAAATAAATTATTTTCAGTAGTAGAAACACCACAAACTTCAGCAACATGCCTAATATGTGTGGCAGCACTCTTACAACTCATCCAGCATGAATGGCATATTCTATCAGATGATGATATCTACAAAAGAAGTAATAAAGCAATAATTATTATACATCTTAAAAATATATTTAAAAAAAAATCAATTATGTATTTATTTGTGGTTAAAATTATTACAGCATCAGTCAATTAATAACAGATATAATAATTTACATCTAAAATACAAAAGAGAAATAATCTAGAGTAATAGTATCAAGTTTTACACTGGCAAATGATTACCAATGTAGAAACATGAATATGTGATGTTGTGAACTTGTTTGTATAATAGCATTTATCTGTCTTTGCTTTTCTGAAGGATTATCATAAACTGTTCTTCGACCTGGTTGAGATAATCCTGAAGCTTGAGCAACATCACAGCTTGTTAATTCCTGGTTTATTATTCTCATAAAGAGTTCATTACAAGATTTACAAATGTAACCTTCCTCAGTAATCTGAAATAAAAAAACATACATTGAGTTTATAATACATATTTTGGATAAATAGATCTTTTGAACAGTTGTTTGTGTTATGTCACAGGTATAATTTATAGGATCTTTGTTAGTTTGATTAGGACATGATTGACATTTTTAGATTAAAAATAATAAACATAAATACTCACAATTACTGGCGAATACCGATGAGTATGAGTCACTCGCAGAACTGTCAAATGTCAAAAAAATCCATTTACGTCAGCCGTGCGAACTTTATTACATGCTGCATTAATAATTTATTATTTTATTTTTAATAAATCTGTACTACTAATAAGATTGATCTTAATATTTATACAAATACTGTTAATTACGTGCTTACTCACTTCTCTAAAACGTAAAATCACGTACAAAACTCAGAAAAAGTTGAATACAGTCAAGTTGGTAGTGTGAGAAATGGAACGTCCTCTGCAATGGATTGTTAAGGTGCGTTCAAAACATGGTAATATGTTTACCCTTGAAGTAAAATAAGCGTAAAGAAATATCAAAAAATATTTTTTCCCCGACCTTCTTTTAACATTGTGATTAGTGTAATTACTATAAAATAAAATAAGCTAAATTCATACACAATCAGGTCAAAAATGGGCATTGTTCTTTATTCCGTTGAATATATAAAGGAATCCTTATAATTAAAAATCATTATATCGAAGGTAAGTTAGATCAAGGTTGATTTCCCTGATAACTATCTCTACATAGTATAAAATAAAGTCGTTAATTTGAAAAAATTAAACGAATCGGATCAAACCGTTCTCGACTTTTGTTGTGGCTGACTCCTAACACCGGTTAAAAATAAATGATAATATAATTTATTAGAACACTTTATTACAAAATTGATATAGTTACGATGATACTATGATATTTAGGTATGATATTTTCAGAACGCGTGGTTTGCTCGATGACCGAACGTGACTGACTGTTTGTCGCGGTATATTTTAATGCTTACGTCGTATTTTTATTTTAATTTATTCGGTACACAAAACAGCAAACAGTAATATACACACCACAATAAAGTTCAATAAATGAAAGTATGAAAAGAGAGGGGAAAAAAATAGTATTGATGGGCCTTAGGTTAAAAGTGCAAACAAAGCTGTTTGGTTCAATAGTGAACAGAACAACTTTGCTTTATTCACTTCAGCGTCAATCTTTTAATGGATTGAGTTTAAATTTTGAGATTAAATACCGCACATGCTAGGCCATTAACTGTTTACGGACATTCTTTGGTTAGATCCAGTTAGTTCACTCAATCGAGTATTAATATAATATAATAATCTACAACTAGTTATGAAAGTTACGAAGCTATGTAACTTACGGCCGTTCGTTGAATATAGGAACCGGGTATTAATTCACGGGCCCACTGAATACCAGCGCTGTAGTTTCGTATCGACTGCAGCACTAAGCTCAGTGCGGTGCGTTTGCCGTATACGTCACACACAAGTGTGTGTGTAAAATGTGTGATGTGTCTTTCATAATTATCTTTTTGCCTTTTGTTAGCGGTTTAAATGTACATTTTTTTTTATTTTGAACTGGCCAGCACTTGACTGCCATCCCACCTGATGGTAAGTGGCGATGCAGCCTGTTGGAAGATGTTGGAACTGTTCAGTCCTCATGTTGCGTAATTGTGCAGTGAATACTTTCTTTCTTTCTTTTCTTTCTTTCTTTCTTTCTTTCTTCACGGGATACCACTGGCGCGCGGGAAGCTCTTTTTAACCATTGGGTGAAGACACTTTGGGACATGGCTAGTGGTTAACACATTTGAACTTGTCACCAGAACACCGTAAACCCCGTGAATGGAGTGTACCAGGGTCCCACAAGTTCATCGCAACACATCAAAGAAGGTATTGCTTTCTGTATTTGTATACCAATCACAAAGCAAAGATTTTATTACCTTTGCTTTTTTTGTTTTCTTTAATTTATTTCGCGTATTGTGTTTTGCACCTGCGTCAAACTATCTCTACTCCCAGAGTTGACTGGAAGAGAATGATTATTAGCATTAAGTTTGCCTTTTGTTTAGACTTAAGTTGAGGTGTAAACAATAAATTTTTAAATAAATAAATAAATACTTCAGTACTGCGGGTGCCCGCTTACCACCATTATTCTTAATATATATAAATTACGTGTCACGTTGTTTGACCGCGATGGACTACTAAACTACTTAACGAATTTTAATCAAATTTGCACACCGTGTGCAGTTTGATCCGACTTGAGAGATACTTTTTATCTCAATTTACGATCGCAATATTTTTTTATTTCAAATTATTAATTTGTTTATAATATGACAAAGAATTAGGAGTATCTTGAGTTCCATAAGATTCTAACAGATGGCGGTGTAAGTTAAATTTATCGGCTGGTTTGAGTAGGTATCTAATAGATGGCGTTATGTAAGAAGTCCAAACATATGGACCCGGTAGATTTGGCGCAGACGAAGTTGCGCGGGCCAATTAGTAATAATATAGTCTCTCCTGGTCTTGTCCCTAGTAGAGATATGTATATCCTGAGCTTGTACTCATCGTAGGTTTTTGTAAATAATCCACATTTAAATACGCAGCAAATAATCAACATTTACGCAGGTGGGTCGCCCTCAGCAAAAAGTTGATGATAAATCACATCTCGCAAATACAGTCTACGTGAACACACTACAGTCTTATCGTCGCGAATAGGGTAGTGAGGGTTACTCGTGTGTATGTGTGTGTCGTGAATTCGCACACTTGTACGACTGACAAACGTCACATGGGTAATGTGCGACAGAGATAACTCTCTACAAAACTGAAATCGACCGACTGTCTCTTTCCAAAGGCCAATGTGCGATATTCCCCACCGATCCGTGTCAAGTATTGATTATTTGAATTATTTAATAATACTTAGAAGATATTCTTAGTATTATTAAATAATTCAAATAATATAATATATATAATAGTAATATTAAATTTGTGATAGGACCACACAACAGTTTGCTGTTGCACGAATAGGCAGGTAAATACCAAGACCTCAAAGAAGACAAGCGTGAATTGGATGTTAAGTGAATACCGCCGCCCATGGACATCTGCTACACCCGAGGGTTGCAGATTCGTTACAACCTTTTGAATATTGGGCTCCGGCTACCTCACTCACCAGACGAAACGCGAGAGTAATTATACTTCCACTTTACGCCGGTCTTCTGTGAGGTCGTGGTACCTACCCGGGCGAGCCTGCCCATTCGTGCAACAGCCGACACTGCTGCGTGGCTCTACCACAGTTAACATTAGGTGAACCGCCAACTCGCTTGCCACCTTCTCACAAAAAACTTCGATATTCCGATGTATCGCATCGCTTGAGCGTCCCTAACGTTGGCTTTCGGGGTGCTAAGGAGCCATCCGTTTCAGGCGAGGACCTATCGCCGCGCGTGGAGCTTGGCGCGGAATGTAGGGAGCTGGTGACGCCCCCACTGCCGCTCACGCCGCTCGAGCACATCGACGCCCCCAGTACGTACTCCTTTCCCCCAGCAGCGGTGCCCACTGCCCGGCCCAGCAGTGGACCCACATGCTGCCAACTGCGCAATCCCCGCCGTCTGCGCATCTGGTCTGAGATTTCGCATGTCATCACTTTAACGCCATGTCGTGAACGCCGCCGTTTTTTTTTTTTAAGAAAGGAAAAACATTTTCGCTGTCCGAAAACGAAACCGAATTCCGAGGAGTTTCATTATGTATCTCTGGAGTTCCAGGTCTTGCTGTGGTAGGTCCACGCAACAGTGTTCACTGTTGCACGAATGGGCAGGTCCGTTAAGTAACACGACCTCGCGGAAGAGCGGCGTAAAGTAGAAGTGTTATACTTCTGCGTTTCGCCTGGTGAGTGAGATAACCGGGGCCCACTTTATTAATGCCCGGTTCCTATATTCAACGAACGGCCGTTAGTTACATAGCTTCGTAGCTTTCATAACGACTTGTTGATTAGACTAACTCTAATAACTCACTTTCCGTGGGTAATGCAACGGCTGGTAAGGGAAACGCCTCGTTTTGTTAATATAGGAACCGGGCCTACACGCCTTTTGTCTACGAGTCGTTGTGAAAGTTACGAAACTATGTAACCAACGGCCGTTCGTCGAATATAGGAACCGGGCATTAAACAAGCTCCGTCGCTATTGGCTGCTGCGACAACTCGCTCCAGCCAAACAGCCAATAGCAACGCAGCTTGCCTTGCTTGGCCAATAAAACGCGATTGGTTACAACTTGCTCCAGCCAAACAGCCAATAGCAACGCATAAAACGCGGTTGGGGCCGCCAGTACCGTCAGCAAAAGCGCCGCTGTCCGCAGGGCAGGCGATGTCCCTGCTGGTGCCGGACACCTCGTACTCCTCTTCGGAGGGCGAGGAGGACTTCTTCGACGCTGACGACGGCCCAGCGGACACGCCGCCGCCGCCGCCGAGGTGAGTGTTGGAGACTGCTAACTAATATATAATATCTATCTTTATCATCATTTACGGTGGTAGGGCCCTCGGCTGTTGCATGAATGGGCAGGCTCGTCCGGGTAAGTACCACGACCTCACAGAAGACCGGCGTGAAGTGGAAGTATGATACTTTCGCGTTTCGTCTGGTGAGTGAGGTGGCCGGAGCCCAATTTTCAAAAGATTGTAAACAAATCTGCAAACCCTCGGGGGTAGCAGATGTCCATGGGCGTTGCTATTCGCTTAACATCAGGTGAATCACCTGCTCGCTTGGCAACTTTTCACATAAAAAAATAAATTTCAGCCTGTTCGAGTCCACTGCTGAACAAAGGCCTCCCCACAGATTGCCACGAAGCATGATCCTGAGCCACCTGCGTCTATCGACTTCACAACAAATCGTTTAATCAACAAAATAAGAAAGATCCATTTCATTGGATAGTCATTTTTTCTTATTTACAACTTCTCGCACACTTGCACAGGTCGTCACTCCATCTAGTGTGGAATCGTCCTTACACTACGAGGCTGCCGTACGAGGACCATTCGTCCTATCTTTTACCGGTTCTACAAGCTATATGTCCGGCCCATTGCCGCTTCATCTTAATAATCCTAAGAGTTATGTCGGTAACCTTTGTTCTCCTGCCGATGTTTTTTTTTTATGTGAAAAGAAACAAACGAGTAGACGGTTCACATGATGTTAAGCGAATACCGCCGCCCATGGACACCTGCTACACCCGAGGGTTGCAGATGTATTGACAAACTTTTACAAATTGGGCTCCGGCCACCTTACTCACCAGACGAAACGCGAAAGTATTATACTTCCACTTCACGCCGGTCTTCTGTGAGGTCGTGGTACTTACCCGGGCGAGTCTGCCCATTCGTACAACAGCCGAGGCTGCTGCATGGCTCTACCACCGTAAAGCCGATGTCTTCCTTATGAACTCACAATATTCTATTTACATTATTTCTCAAAGATGTTTTCGTCGGTACACCGTAACTTCCATAATTCTTCATCAAATTTATCGAATCAAAATTTTAAAGATTTTGTTTGCCGCTATTGACGAAAAATATTCAAGGAGAATAATTTTTGTGTAGATTAAAAGGAGGCATTGAGGTCATTTAGTATACTACCAAGGTCCTCCAGCGATTCTGTCATGGATGCAAGTGGTTCAGGATCGTCAGTGGACTTTAACTAATAGGCTGAAATATTGATAACGATGATGATATTGGAAAATCGCTTAATAATGAAAAGACAATCTTTATTGATCTAATATTTACAAGATTAAATCTATCTAAAATTACATATTATCTAATAAACCTAATCCACGCGGCATGGTGCCAAGAACGCTAGCTGCATTTCCTCGCTGAATAGTTATGCTCAACCTTTGCGCGAGAAAAGAACCAGCTCTCTTGTCACCAGCCGCGGCGTTAAGCCTAGGACATAAATCGCTTATGTTATAATACTTAGTATGACTATACTCACGCTTATTTACGTTAAATGAGTCTAAATAGCCCGTACGTTTTAATTATTTTTTTTCCGTATGCAACGATTTGTGATTCCGCGCCGCAGTTGAAAAGGTATTGGCTTCGGCGCCGGTGGTCGTGGGTTCTATCCACATGTAACAACTATTGTGTGACCCACAGATAACTTATACAGACCTGGATTCCTGTCCACGTTCATTTTATGTTTGTTAAAAGTCCTTGCAATATAGCATAAAGTTATCTTTCAATAAGGCCAGTGTATTTAAAAAAAAATGAGCTCCCTCACAGCACCATAAGTCAAGTCGTGTCTTAAACATATAAGACCTCGTTTAAACCGACTTCAAAAAGCAAGAGGTTCTGAATTCGACTGTAATTTTTTTTTTAATGTTTGTTACCTCAGAACTTTTGACAGATTGTACCGATTTTGATAACTTTTAATTTCTTTTGAAAGCTGTCGCTTCCCATGTGGTCCCATAATAATTTCATTGGTATAGGATATTGGGCTCCGGCGATACTTAGGGAACACCGGGAAATCAACTTTAAAATTAATACAGAGCGAGATATTTGAAGTCGTTTCTGTTTTTCGTTTGTAAAAATATGGTCAATAATAAACGGATGTGAACTTTCCAAAATTACAAGGCCTCATGTGACGTTAACACATGTTACCTTTGACTTGACTTGATACCTCGGCGGCGCAGTGGCTAAACCATTGGCTTCAGCACCAGTTGTCGTGTGTTCGTTTCCCACACGGGACAGTTAGTGTGCCCGCAAATGATCGTTCCGGATCTGGGTGTTTATTCCCAAGGTGAGTCAATTGCGTGTGCCAGTTTCCAAAATACCTAGCCAATAGCGTAAACAACATGATTCATATGCCGTGCCAACCCCACCTTGGTGGGATGAGGGCAGAAGAAAGAAATAAGAGATCATTGACGTTATTCATTACTAGCTGCTGCCCGCGACTACGTCTGCGTAGAATAGGCTGAAGGCGTAACATTCAGACAGAAAGACAGATACATAAAATATGTATATAAATTATAGCCTATGCCTTATTCTGATGTATAAGCTATATTATTGTAAAGTTTCATCAAAATCCATTCAGTAGTATTTTCGTGAAAGAGTAACAAACATCCATTCATACATACAAACATTCGCCTTTATAATATTAGTAAGGATTATATTATATAGTAAGGAAGTGAGGATTTAACCGAATTGTTATGTGGGCGCAACTATAGCAATACACCGCGCACGAATGTAACAATAGCTTTTTCTTCGGAAGATGTCTGAAATACGCAAAACAGTCTTGCATATCCAACCCGTTGCGGGGATACTGATCGAGCTACCAAGAAAATACTACCAGTCAAACTGAAATAATCCATAGACTTGCATGGGTAAAGCTTAAAATCGTTTGCTTTTAACGTTATTAAAAACTGTAAACGATGTGGCTATATATATATTTTTTTATTTAAAGTTTCCAAGCGTACAAGCTATTCACCTTATGTTAATTGATTACCGCCGCCCATAGACATCTTTTTTTTTTTTCTTTTTACGTGGGAAAAATCCTTTATGGATCCCCCGCCGTTGTGACAACACAAGGCAGGTTGTGGGTAGGCATCAGGGGTATGTGGGAGTTACAGGGTATCCACTTAAAAAACCCACGGTGCACCTGCGCTGTCTCTTTGCCGGGGACACAGAAACACGAAAACGCAATCTTCCGCGACGCCCATAGACATCTTATAAGAGTTCTAACGATTTTTACCTTGATCCTACGAGTAGATAACGTCATATCCGGTATACAGTGATGCCAGCGCCAACAATCTAAATTAATTAAAAGAGGGGAAGATGCGTTGGCAACGCATATGCGTTGGCACATAGCCCCCGAATCGCAGAAGTCCACATTTCCATTTCATGCCGGTCTTCAGTGAAGCCGTGGTAATTCCCCGGTCACGCCTGCCCATTCGTGTTTAGACGACCCGAATCGCGTAGTGGGTAGCGAGCCTCTTGCGCCAGAGGGTGTGGGTTCGATCCCCACTACTGGAAGATTATTACTTGTTTTTTTCTAGTGTCTGTGTTTATCTAATATATAAAATTCTCGTGTCACGGTGTTTGTAATTGAACTCCTCCGAAACGGCTCGACCGATTTTCGTGAAATTTTGTGTGCATATCGGCCAGGGTGGAGAATCGGACAACACCTATTTTTCATCCCCCTAAATGTTAAGGGTGGTCCACCCCAAACATTTTTTTCTACCCTACAAATAATTTATATGGCAAGACAACGTTTGCCGGGAGAGCTAGTATATGTATAATAATATGTATTTATTTACAAAAGAAAAATATGTTTAAGTATGTTTATCAGTTATATAGTACTCATAGTACAAGCGTTGCTTAGTTTGGGTTAAGAGAACGTTGTGAAAAAATTTTTCCTAAAATATTTATTTATTCATTATTAAAGGGCAACGGCACGAACGAATGGGCAATTCCTGAATCTGTCCCATTTCACACAGCAACAGATGGTCAGGTAGACACGATTTTCCGCATGGAGATAGACAGGCGATAGCAACAACAACAATAACAACAATATCAGCCTATTGCCGTCCACTGCTGAACGTAAGCCTCCCCCAAAGTGCGCCAACTATCCCGGTCCTGGGCAGCCCGCATCCATCCGCTGTCCGCCACCTTTCTTGAGTCGTCAATCCATCGTGCTGCAGGCCGTCCCACACTTCGTTTTCCTAACCGTGGTGTCCACTCTAACACGTGTCGGCTCCAGCGACCATCAGTACGTCTGGAGACATGGCCAGCCCACTTCCACTTCAGCGTGCTAATTCTAAGGCGATATCACGGGGATATTATTATAAAGGCGATAGTTTCTATTAAGCCAAAAACTTAGGGATTCAGTGATTTGTGAGAAAACTGAGCCTAACGCCCAGGCCTTCGTTTAAAGGCCACTGTTCAACCTCGAAGGAAATCTCGATTGGAGCCGCGAACCACGGCTATTTGTTACAAGTGAGTCTTTTCGAACGTCTACTTTTCGTCTAATAATTAAACGACAGGTAGACCTACAATAACTATTTTTTTCCTAACGAAAAACAAAACCGACTTCAAATATCTCGCTCTGCATTCATTTTATAATAGATTTTCATGAGTTCCCTAAGCGTATTTCCGTAGCCCAAGATCCAATACAAATGAAATATCGGACCACACGGGAAGCACCGGCTTTTATATAAAAAAAAGAATCACCAAAATCGGTTCACTCAATTATAAGTTCTGAGGTAACAAACATAAAAAAATACAGCTGAATTGAAAACTGATTTTGAAGTCGGTTAAAAAAAGGTCCTACTGTATTCTGAAAGGTCTGCATCGCATCTGCAACGTGTTGCTAGTGCATATGGGCAGCGATGATTCCTTGTCATAAAACCTTTAAGTTGACTCAGTATTATACAGGCTGTATGTTTTGTTTACACATGTATATAGGGTATGTCCCATTTCGTAAAGCGCCTTTTTTGCGTCGCGAATCTGGCAACGTTCCAGCCCTCGCTCTGGAGAGCTTGTGGCGATTGTGAATTGACGCGTGGCGTTGGCTTGGGAAATCGATACCGCCATGCTACCGCGTAGAGGGTCGCTAGATTCGTTATCATTATTACAAAATGTTCCGTAATCGGTGTCCGAAATTTGATTTTACTACATTTCCCAAAATGAAACAATCAACAACCTCAAAATTGACAGGAGGTTGCAATTGGCTTAGTATGTCAAGGAATAAAAAATGGCGGCTATCTAGATACGTACAATAATAATCCAAAGTCAATGTTTACGTTTTTCCGTACTCTTTTGATTATATCTTAACACTTTCGTTTATATTTTATGTTAATTTTCTCTACAATGTGATAATTTATGCAGTTTTAACTCATTTGCCACGACCTCACGGAAT